CGGTATACTAAAGTATTAATCGGTAGAGTTACTAACTTATTAAAATTCTATTATTATATAAAAACTAGATATAGTTTAGTATACCGGTATACTAAAGTATATAGAAAGTTACTTTAGGTAAATAGAAAAAGAAAGTAATTTCTATATATAAAGGAGGAGGAAATGTCGGCTTTTTAAGCTTAAATTAGAATAAGAGAGAGATCGCGGGATAATTTAAGAAGAGAAATAACGAGAAAAGGCGAAAGAACCCCTAAGATTTTCTAAATCTAACCCGATTTCCCCTACTAGAGATATAGCCCTTTTTTTTTTAATCGATTCCTACTACGGTTCCCTTAATTTTTTCGAGCCTCGACCCCCTTTTTTTTTTAGCTAAAATCTAATTATTAACTATCGTTTTTTTTAAACTAGAGCTTAGTTTTAGCGAGGTAAGAATAACCTAACTATTAAGATTAAGTACTAAAGTTACTATAAAGGAAATAAGGTAATTTTCGACTCCCGCCTCAAAAAATTCGACTTAAGCTTATCTCGAAATTTTCTAAGTTATCTTCTTTAAGATTAGCGTAACTTTAGATAGTATTAAGGATAACCTCTATCTAATCTATAAGTACTTAATTAAGGTAGGCCTAATCCTTCCCTTAATTTCTTTAACTATTAACTTAAAAAAATAATACGCGTTAATAGAGGAGCTCTTAGTAGTTTTTAATATATACCTTCGCGACCTTAAGGAGAAGAAGATAAGAAAAAAATGAGTCCTCCTTCAAAAAAAACTAATTAAGAGTAGAAGGAGAAAGATAATAAGAGTAGAGACTTCGCTATAGCGCCTAACTAGTACCGCGTTAACTACCTTAAGGTCGGTTTTCCCGACTTTTCTCTCGAAAAAAACTAATACGGACTTAACTAGTTAAAATACTTACTTATAACGTAGATAAGGCGGAGGATTAGAAGGTTAGTTTAAAAAACTCGCTTTATCCCTCGATTTTCTCTAATTTAGATATAGTTCGATGTTAAAGAAGTATATAAGGTTCTCGTAGTTAAAGGCTAGAAATACGTACTATAATTAGTTTTCCCGATCCTCGACTCGTCTTTTCCGATTAAGAGTTTTAACCGTTATATTTCGAAAAAATCGAGGTAAAGGTCCTTTATACTATAGATAACGGTAGTAAATAACTATATTTAATTTTTTTAAGTTAAAGCGCTCTAGACTAGATATATAGATTAAAGTAGACTTAGATTATATTTTTCGAGGAACGTCTATACGAAATTTTATAAAGATAAAGGTACTTCTAAATTCCTAACCTAAGGGTCGAAAACTCCGACTAAAGAGTCGAAAAATATAAGATAGAATAAGCTCCGAAAAAAAAGACTACTTCTTAGAAAAAAGAGACTATACTCTCGAAAAAAACGAGGTTTCTTAAGTCTCGTTAAAGTTAAGTTTAACGAGATCTAGTAACTCTCGAAAAAAACGAGGTTAGCCTCGTATAGTTAGAGGTAGAGTTTTAAGTCCCTACGTAATAAAACCTTAAATCGATCTATAATTAAGTATATAACGCTATATAGTTTCCGCTCTAATTTTACGACTCTTACTTCGATTACTATATAAATTAAGGTATAGATAGAACTAGAGTTTCTCTATTAATTAAGCGTAAAAAATAAACTTCGAAAATTTCTAGTTCGCGAGATATACTATATTTTTCTTTCTATCGTTAAACTCGAGTAAGGTTACGACTATAATAGTAAAACTAGATTAAGGAGCTAGAAAATAAGAGTATATACTAGTATAATATAACTAGCGGATCGTAAAAACCGAAAAAACGAGCGAATTTTACGATAGATACTAAGAGTTATTTAACTTTCTATTTCCTTAGTATTTATCGTATAAAAAATCTTAGTATCTTTCGATAGGTACTATCGAGTAGGGTAGTAGGCTTCTTATCGTAGTAAGTAAGCTACTACCGACCGGAGGTTCCCTCCTATCTAGTTATTTTAGGGAAATTTCTAGCCCTAACCTAACATCCCTAGGCCGTTTTTTCCCTATAGTATAGTATACGGCGGCGCCTCAGTAATAACGTAGAGCCGCGTCATTCTTTAAGACGATATAAGTAAAGTTGTTAAGAAACTTAAGCGATACTGCACGAGATTCTGATAGTTCTACAATCCTTTACGAGAATAGTCAAGTAAAGCTGTTATTCTTCTAAGGTTTCGTTATATGGCTCGTTCATTCAGACGTTTATGTCATCTGTAGATGCTCGTAGCGCCGGCGCTCGATCTCGCTTTCTGTACTCTCAATCTGCAGGACATTGATTCTCTGCTCTCACTCACTCGCGAAATTTCGCGTCACAATCAGTTCCCGAGACTGAGTAACTGAGTATTGTCTTATCTGAGATCCTACCAAAGGTCGCTCATACCAGTTTCGTGGAATCTTATGACATGCTACAGAGACACTAACAATATGTCTTGCAGCCGGTTCCCAGCAGGATTAAATTGGCCGGCAAAGAAGCCAAGCTCCGAAGTCACACAACCTAAAAAGAAAACTTTGGAAATTTGAGCGAGGTTGTTGTTGATTGACTGTGGTGCTTAGAGCCAGCTTACTCAGACTTAGTATATAAAATGACGTTGTATTACTGGCGACGCTATCTCGCAGCTCAGCGGATGTATATTCAGTGATTAGTGCTACGTACAAAAGAAGACGCGACAGAACACTCGAGATTGCAGGGACTTCGAAATGAGTACAGCCCCCTTTTTCGGTTTTCCTTTGTGTTGGGCAACCCACCTGACCAAACCGCCGTTAGGCGCAAGAGAAACTGCTCGCATCATCAACATTCCCATTACCATCGTAGGTAATTAGTTGAGGGTACGGACACAAGTTCCGCGTCACGTTCCTCGATGGAGAGACAGCAAGAGCTGCAGTCAATGTTTCTGGAGCCTCATGAGATTCAACCCAGCTCACCAGTGCAGCGAGAGGATCCGTCGGCACCGGCCCGATGCCTCCAGCACAGTGTGCCACACCGGGAGCGAAGAAGACTCGATAGAAATCATTCAGTTGGGTTTGATTGAGAGCCATTCCACGCGAAAGCGATGAACGGTACAACATGGTGCTGTAGGGCGTGATCAATGGGTCTGCCAACCCGTGCCACGTGAGTAATTTGCCGCCGCCAGCCTTGAACCGTGACAGGTCGGGCGACATGGTGCCCAAAATGCGGGAGAATTCGACCACGGACTGTCCAAAGACGTCGTCGAAGTCGCCAAACGTCATATTCCTGGTGGGATAGTTGGGATCGTGAACCACAAGGTACTTGATCCATGCTTCCGCGGAGGAGAAGGGAACAGGCACTGTGACACCATTGGCGGCGGTGGTGGTATTTGCTAGGCCGCTGAAGACGGCGCCTCGAGGATTTCCAGGAAACAAAGATTCTCCGTTGATCGAAGTGCTGCCAGCCCAGATGCGAGACACAACGTTGGCAAAGGTGGCCGATATGGTCACGTTCTGGCCCCCGCATTGGACTCGTTGGCCGACCAGGCTTTGCGGATCGAAATCGCAGACTCCCAGATTCGAGATCAGTCCGTCTCTGGCACCATCAAGGGGGTCGCAGTATTCGAGGGTGGCGTTGTAGTAGGCATCGAAGACGCATTGCGGTGGAGCTTCCAAGTTCTGCATCACCACCGAGGGCCAAAAATCGCTGGGGGAGATCTCGGGGGAGTTCAGCGCCGGAGAATTCGCCATAATCCCGTCGAAATCTTCGGGGTACACCTGGGCGGCGAAGTAGCCCTGACGTCCACCGGTGGAGCAGCCAGTGTAGTACGAGTAGGCCGGAGCCTTCCCATAGAACGTTTGTGTCAGAGACTTGCCAATCACGGTCATGTCGTGGATGGCCCTATGTGCAAAATTCTTGACGAGGCTTTCATTGAGAGAGCCGTCCTCGGTCAATGCCCACTGGCCAGTTTGAGGGTCGATCGAATTGTTCAAAGTGAGGCCTCCATCCGTCGTCCCAGTGGCGTATCCAAAAGGGGCCGCGCCGAGAAGATAGTAAGCCCCGAACCCAGCTGCCAGTCCCCCACCACCGGTGGCCTGGAAACGTCCGTTCCAATTGTTCAGCGGCAGCCAGATGTTGACCCATGTGGTGTCACATTCGTCTGGGTGGTTGTAGCTCACAGTGACATTACAGAAGTCGAGCGACACGCCAGGACCAAGGGGGTTGGTGTAGTTGCGTGCGGCTACGGCTTGCACACTGGAAACTTCAAGTCCTGACGGGGGTGGCAATGTCAGATGCTCACATGGCATCACGGGAGTGGTGTTATTTGTTGGCAACGCCAGAGCTTGTTTCGCCCAGGCATAAGCCAAGGCACTGAACGTCTGTATCTTGGTCATCTTGTCGAACGTAAATGCACGCATTCGAGGTAGTCTCTCGAAATGAATTCGAGCTTGGAGGAAGCTCGCATCTTTCAGCGACATACCCCTCTCTTACATTGTCACTTGACCGGCATTGATTGACTCAGTTATTTCAACTTTGCCGGTTCCGATCAGCTTCTGTCGATGTTATCTGACCTTCCTTCTTCGGCACCTCACTTTTCAGGTCAGGCTGCACTTCAAGCTTGATCGGCTTAGGGAAGGGGCCGACACCCCGTATTCTCCAGGCAAAAATGAGATCCACAATGACCCTCTGCTTCTCATGGCTCGTGACTGACGGCCCATCGGCTCGGTTGCGGTTACGGTTGCGGGTTCGGCATCGGTCAGCTACCATAGCCATGTCGCGCACTATCTAGTAACCGACCCATGGCAGAACGAGCAACAGTTTCACGTGGTTCATTTTTAAGACGATCCAGTCGGCATGTGCCCGCCTTTCGCCGTTCAACAAGTACAAAATCGACGGGGCTCGGGATTGAATCTATGACGAGGCTGGGTTGGCGTGGTCATAGTTTATGTCTTGCACCACCAGCGAGAGCCTTGAACCTGGCTTGCACAACCCCTGACGCGAAACGTTCGGTTCCTGCCACCACCTCCCGAAGATTTTGTTGATCCAATAGTTCTCGCTCGGGTTGACGAATCAGCTCCTTTATTGCCAACATACTGCTGGCATTGAGATGGATACCCAGACGATCGTTAACCTCGTTGAGAACCTCTTTCAGGAAGCCTGCGCTGTCGTCCTGCTTGCCGGATGCCGGTGACATGACCATGTTCACAAACCCAGCTGCTTGGAGCTCATCGGACGTGATCCGTTTGCCCATGATAAGTGCTTCATTGGCCTTGCTGGCCCCGAGTCGCTGTATAAATGTCCGGGAAGAAGCCCCTTCGGCGAGAGAGCCAATGGAAGAGAAGGGGGCGAGCAGGTAGGTGTGGGGAGCAGCGTAGATGAAGTCGGCCAGAGCCACCAGTGCCGCAGAGAGACCCACTGCCGGTCCATTGAGGGCGGCAACCAGGATTTTTCGATGCTGATAAAATGCCCGCGTAACGTCGAGTGTCACGGCGGCAAACGACCGCAGAGCGGCGAGTCGAGCATTGCTGCCGCTGGCGTCGTCGTCCAAAGTGCCTGCACTTACGTCCGCGCCACTAAATACAACGTTAGGGTTGACCCAAGGCATTGAAAAGTGCGCATACTCACGCTGAGAAAAAGCGGCCGGTGCCTGTAATGACCGTGATGAGTATGTCGTCTCTTGTATCGATCTGTCGAAGTACTTCTCCCAAGGCGTAGTAGAGGGATGCTGTCAAAGCATTGAGTTTTCTGGGCCGGTTGAGGGTGACTATAGCGACCCGGCTATCGAAGGTGAGTAAAATATCATCGTTATTCGACATGCTGCGTCGCCTCAGCCTCTCAATCTTGCCAATTTAGAATGGACAACCCGCAAACTTGGAAGCCAAACCGTGACTGTATTGCCCGACGTGGTGAGCGCGAAGAAGAAATTATGAAATTTATACTTGGCCGAGCACGCCCAAGAACAGAGATGACCATATTTATGTGCAGCTGTCCTGGAGAGGAGCATTCTCAGTGGTTAGTGGTTCCTTACGTGCTCTATTGCCGCTTCCGAGGTCCAGGGGCCCGGTTTGCATGTACCCGCATGATCCCGTGGGATCACATGCCTTGAACACGACTCTCGATACTTAGGCCAGTCACCCTCCTATGGCGTTCTTTCAAGGTTGTAGATTCGAGCCCATTTTATCTTGGTAATATCTGTTTCTGAGTCAACAAACGATAGTAATCGCAGTCTGAGCAAGGGCAACTTCGACTTACTGACTACATATGTCCAACCTTGCGATCCCTTATGAACTCCCGTCTGTGGAGGTTGAATGGCTGAAGCGCGATGTAATCCTCTTTGCACTCAGCATCGGCTGCATAATTGATGAATTGCAGTTTCTTTATGTAAGTACCAGAGTTGTGCTCTATGCTTTGCTTCCAAGAGAGTCGTTAATGTTCTCAATACTAGGAACTCCATCCAAAGTTTGCGGTGTTTCCCACCTATCCAACCATTTTGCGTACGCTCAGATACCATATGGCTTATCCAGCTGTTTGAGACAAGCATACTAAAACAAATGACCACCAGCTTTCAAACTCACCGACCAAGAAGTCACCGAGTACTTCAGCCGACAATCGCTCCCTTCTGTTCCCGGGTTGCCAAAGTTTGACCCAAAGCACGGTGTTGATGGGCAGCGCACACTCACAATTTTCAAACCTCTACCTACCGCTAGCACTGGACGGTCTTTTGAGCTTCGTAGCAGAGTGGTTGCCATCTACGACAAAGGAAAGGCTGGAACTATCATTGAGACGGAACAATCAATTGTAGAGAAGAATTCCGGGGAGGTTTACTCCCGAGCCTTAGGAAGCGCGTTCCTCATCGGGCAGGGAAACTGGGGCGGACCCAAAGGTGAGTTTTCCTCCAAGCCTTCATCCATTGGCCCCGTCGACACCCAGATTGCTGACCGGTGTTCCGTATGTTCCCACAGGATCCGTCTCCACTCAATTCTCTCCTTCTGAGGGCAGGATACCCGATGCTAGATTCGAGATTCAGACGAGCAACGAGACTGCTCACCTGTACAGGTAAGTCACGAGTCATCCAAGATCAGTCAGATGGCCTCGCATCGTCAATCGCTGATGATCAAGGCTCAACGGGGACTATAACCCCCTCCACGCTGTTCCTGATCTCGGCCAGAAGATGGGTTTTGGAGGCACAATTCTCCACGGCATGTATAGCTGGAATGCCGTTGCCCATGGAATTCTCAAACAAATGGCCTCCAGCGACCCGCAAACCCTGAGGGAATTTTCCGCACGATTCGCTTCTCCAGTCAAGCCCGGTGACACTCTGATCACAGAAATATGGAGAATGGGGATAGGGCATGAAGGCTTTGAAGATGTTCGATTTGTCACCAAGAACCAGAAGGGTGTGCCTGTTCTGAGTAATGGACGTGCTCTTTTTCGGGTTCAGTGTGCATCCCTGTGATCGACAAAACCAATTTAGAAGTTCAATATGATTACAGTCGCGTGCAAAAGCCCAAAAAATCTATAAGTTAGCCAAGAGTATAAGTTATATATATACCGTAATATACGTATATAGCGATATAGGCCTTTAAGGATTCGGTCAAAGACAGGATGGGAGTGGATCGTCCCAACGAGTACAGGGCACTCGTTGAACACTCCATCGAGATCGACAATTGGCTGTACGAGCGCCAATTGGAAAGGAAAGGAGCATACTATGGGGGAACGACTTATCGGAACAAGTCCTACCAACAGGGCGACCTAATGAATCTCGACGTGATTCAACGACAGGGGCCAGGCCAATGGAAGGCACGGGATCGTTCGCGAGGAAAAACCCGTGGACCAAGTAAGTCGGAGCGAGAGAAACGCAAGAACGAGAGTCTATGCTATACGTGCGGAAAATCCGGACACCGTGTACGCGACTGTAATAAAAAGGTCCGAACGCTACATATGATGGACCGCGGTATAGCCGGTTGTAAGGAAATAAAGGCCGACACTTCATAGGAAACCTAGATGATAGCCGACAGTCGAGGTAATACAGTATAGAAGGGCCACCTAGGGACGGAACTTCAGGACGAAGTAGGTGGACCTACTAATATAAAACCTAAAGAAGAAGCTACTTTGGAAGAACGGACGGTATAAAAGAAACACGTAATGTTACACTAGATAGCATGTTACGATGACAACTGTCTAGTGCACCTCTCTTCGAAACTAAGCGAAGGATGGTTTCCGAAGAAGAAGAAGAGGCCAGCCCGAAGTAAGAAACTAAGCTTAACAGGCCAGGAAGCGTATAAAGGGTAAGACATCGACGAAACCGACAATAAAGGACTCTAGATGACACGTATGTTAGAAACGGCCTTCATATGACCTAGTGCGCGGGGCACCTAGGGGTAGGTCGACCGAGTACGGTAGCCTAATAGAACATAAGGAGAAAGTAGGGCTAGGTTATGTACCGTACGTAACTACTAAAGGAGGAAACTACTGTCACGAACACCTACGTGACACTGGACACTCAGCTTAGGTCACTAACTAAGGAGTTAGGTCACTAACTAAGGAGTTAGGCCGCTAGCTAAGTAGCTAGCTTACCGTATATATATAGTAAGAGGGGTTATACTTATTAACCTTAAAATCTTCTTTAAGCGTTTCCATACAGTAGCTGGAGGTAGCGTTAGGGTCCCCTTTCTATTAGGACTCGCACCTAACCTAGGTAGATAGGCTAGGTAAACTAAGTAAATAGGCTAAGCGTAGGGTAAGTACCTACGCCTCGGATAAGTAGCGGTTAGTAGGCCGCTCCTTTACTTAAAGCCCTTAAGGCTTGAAGTCTCTATATATAGGGCCTATAGGTATCTATTCTAGGTGTTATCTCTTCTATCGATCTAGTCCCCCTTACTAGGGGCTCTTACACTTTCCTCCTCTTAGTTTACTTTTTACCTCATTTAGACCTTTATCTCCTACTAATATACCCTCTAAAGCCTACTACCCTACTCAATGGTACCCATCGAAGGATTCTAAGATTTTTTCTATAATAGATACTAAGGAAATAGAAAGTCGAATATCTCTTAATACCTATCGTAAAAAAAGACGGGTTTTTCGATTTTTACGCTTCATAAGATCTATTCTTCGATAATATCTACTTAAATAGACTCTAAGTCTAGTAGATAGATTAATATAGTCTTAACCCTAGAGGGTAGATCTATAGAAGATTAAAATCGCGAATATCTCTTTGACTAGGAATTTTCGAAGTACGTTTTCTTCGCTTATTAAATAGAGAATATTAAGTTCTACTTCTTTATTTATTTTCGAAAGAATTAAACTAAGAGTCGTTAAATTAAAGCGGAAATAATATAGCTTTAGAGACTTCCTCGTAAGTTAAGTTAAGATTTTAACTATAAGATCTTTAAATCTTTCTTTAGTCCGTATAAGACTAAACTCGATTTTTTCGAGAGGTTATATCGCCCGTTAAAGGTTACTTTTTACGGACGTTTACGCCGCTTAATTTTTTCGAGAAGAAGCTCTTAATTTACGAGGAAAGAGTCGGAATTTTCGAAGCTTATAGTAGCTGGAGGGTAGCGTTAAGGTCCTCTTTTCTCCTCTTAGTTTACTTTTTACTTTATTTAGACCTTTATCTCCTACTAATATACCCTCTAAAACCTTCTAGAATCTTAAGAATAAAGTAAGAAGGCGTTAGAAATCGAAAAGAGTTACTTCTTATCCTATCTCTTGTCAGAGCTACTTCCTGTATGGCCTAACGTAGTTAGACTTCCTCAGTCGTAGTATCAGGCCCGTTACCTAACTAGAGGGTAAATATATATACTATAGGATTAATAATGATAGATAACTAGCCTATAGATAGAGATGTCAACGCTTAAAGAAGGCTTTAAGGTTAATAGGTATAACCCCTCTTACTATATATATACGGTAAGCTAGCTACTTAGCTAGCGGCCTGACTCCTTAGTTGATGTTACGTAGAGTGTCCAGTGTCACGTGGGTGTTCGTGACACGTAGTTCCTTTATTATATAAGCTAGGTCGAGAGTACGTAAGGTATGAATAGTCGAGTGACTTTAGAATAGTATAGTAAAGTAGATGTTATAAGTTAGCTACGAGGGAGTATAGCTATAAAAGGGTAATAAGCGTAGTTATATACTTATAAGGCGTATCTCGAATAGGTAACTAGAAATAGTATATTAATATATTAATATAGTCTATACTAATATATTACTGTATCGTAGTTTCCTCCTTTAGTAGTTACGTACGGTACGTAATCCTAGCCGTCATTTTACTCGTGTCTTATTAGGCTATTATGCCCGGTAAACCTACCTCTAGGCGCCCCGCGCTCCAGGTTGTATGAAGGCCGTTTCTAATAAGATAGGGGAAAGGTGCGTTACGTCTATAATATTTTCTCTTCTAGCTACATTTCTTAGGTTACGCTATTTTACGGCCTCTAGATCCTTCCGGAGAACCTCACCTACAGGAAATGTTAGTAGTTCCGGATTATAGTTAAAACCCCGGCAATACTAAAACGTACTAATTTATTTACTAGCGTACGATGTACAGCTACTGTACCGAGGTAATTAGTATCAGCCGTAGACTTTATAAAGGTCGAGCTAAAGTACGGATAGCTATTTTCGTGCTAAGGTAATCAAGCATTTTAGGGCATTATAGGATGGTGGAATTCTAGATAATAACCCGACCGAGAAAGTCTTATGAGAACTCGGTTATATCTGGCCTAAGTACGTTTAGCCACACTTTATTCTCTCTATAGGCACTGGATACTATAGCCCCTTAGATCATAACTTAGGACTATACCGTAGAATATGACTTAATAGGTTTATCCCCCGGATTCTACGGGCATTTTTATCCTCGCCATCTTTAGACGCCGATAACAGCTAGGCGGCTCTTTTAAATCGTCTCTACGACGATGTAAGAGAACGATTCTACCGTCTTACCCCTGAATTCGCCGACGAGTTACCGGAGTTAGATAATATATCCTAGATCCCTCGACTGATACAAATAGCTACTTACAGCCCTCTTAACTTAGATGAAGAGAAGCGGAAATTATAGGCTTCCCGGTTCTTCTTCGAGCTACACTTAAGCCCCGAACGCGTATACGACTACTATGTCTATCGGGGGACTGTACTATGCCGATTTTAGGACTCTCGTTCTCTTCTAAACGCTATCCGTCGATATTACGCGTCTCCTTAAATTATATTAGAGAATAAGGTTCTCATTCGAATGGCTGATGATAGTTATGTTTACAGAAGATGTAGGTATTTCAGAAGGGAAGTAGTGTTCGAAGTCCCGTAACTAAGCCACCCGATAGCCATAACTTTAGAGCTTAGTCACGATAAGCGTAATTTTCTAGCTAGTTTCCCAAAACCTATGGGATGGTTTACTGAGAGACAGTTAAAAAACGATCACTAGATATAATAGCTAAACACTTCGTGTTACGAGAGCCGACTAAAACGACAACTATTTGGTCCGCCGCGGAAGGATGCTAAGCGGTGTAAAACCGGATAATCCCCTAGCCGAAAAGGGCCGAGAAAGAAATATTTGTATATGGAAAGATGGGCCCTAAGTAGAAGCTTAATCGTACCGCTGTAAGCTGTGCCGTTTAGTCAGAGGTGGTCGCTCGACAGGTTGACGTTCTGTGCTGGCGATGGTCCGCTTCGCCTACGAAAGATATGGAAGCCGCATTTTGCCCTGCTTTGTGGAACGACGGCATGCATGAGCAGCACAGCATCAAAAGTTCCACATTACGGCTTTATCTACTAACCTGAGATCATTAGAGCATCAAAAGGTAGAGTCAAGCATAGGCAGGGCACGATTTTTAGGTCTGATTCATGAGCTACAGACCTCGGTCCAAGCAATACTTGCATATGCTCACATTTTAAAAACTGACTTTTCGTCCACTGGCGGACCCTGGAGGCTTGCAACTAAATTCCCAGCAATCACACGTCTTGCCCTCACAAAGCGACCGCGACCCTGTTGGTCTGATATTTCTTGATGTTGGGTATGAAGAAGCAAGTAATGATGGCCAACACACCGAACGGAATGCTAGTGACCCAAACCCACTTCAAGGACTCGGCATAAGCCCATCTCTCGCCCAACGTAGCGCCCGCCAATACCTGTGGTGTATATCCAACCGCTTGGGTAATATTAGCCGGAGCAGCCAGAAACATTGTCACAAACTCGGTGGCATCTGCTGCCGGCAAACCTGCTTTGATGGCGTACTTGGCAATTTGTTTAGGTAGCTGCGTATTGAGCTTGTTCACGAAGATGTTGTAGTAGATGGTGAAGCCGATGGAACCGCCCACGGTACGGATCGACAGGGACAAGGCGGCGGTGGTTGCGAGAAGAGAGTCCGGGACGACGATTAGAGCCACGGTGGCAGCGGGGACGAGGATGCCGCCGACGCCGAAGCTGGCGATCGTGCCGAGGGCGACTGCTAGTTTGGGGGTTTCTGG